GTGCCCGCCGGCCGGCCCTCCAGGCTGCAGCTGCTGCGCCCCGCGTCCCTTGCATCCTCCCTCCTTCCTGCCTTCCTAGCCAGTGCGCCCCTACTCCCCACTGGCAGCGTGTCCCCACCTTCGTGTGTTCGCCCCCTTTTCGAGGTCAGCCTCCTTCGCCGCCGCCGCCGCCGCAGCGTGACTTTGGCAACCTGGAACTCGAGGGGAACCCCCCCTCCCCCGCCCAAACGAGCGTTTTGTCCGCGCCTTCAGAGAAGTCTGAATGGGCTTTTCTCTCCGCCGTGTGTCTCTGTCTTTCATCCCCATTCACGGCCTGAAGTTGCTCGGAGAGCCTGAAGTTGCTCGGAGTGACTCATGTCCCTCTGCTGAACCCGCCCCTGGCTTTTGTGACATCGAGGTTTATCCAGATCGCCAGTGGCGGTGATCTCCTTTAGGAAACCGAAGCGTGCGGACTCATCCCCCTTCTCTTGCATGTCCCCTACCCCGTCCCAGTTAGAGTCTGGTCGGTTTTAAAACCCGAGTCTCTGCCGTTGTTTTTCCTCCTTATTTTCCACACCTCTTTCCTTTCGTTCTTTAGCTGTTTTACAGAAATGTAGCGAAAAGTCCTTGCGTGCCATTGCCGAGATACACTAGACCTGTCTGTGGGGGGAGGCCAAGTGAGGGGCGTGCGCGTTTCTCCGGAGTGTCCCCTCTTTACAGAAGGAGGATATTGGGGCGGCTGCATTGCAAGTTTATTTCCCAGACCAGGGAACCTGTAGATTTTTATTGCAAGTCCTGGCCTTTGTGAGCCTGAAGGCCAAACAATGGAGGTAAGAAAGGGAATTCACGGGGAAAGAGAATTCTCTTTCTAGAGCCTGGTTCTGGCCATGAATGAGGAAAGAGGTGAGGAGGGGATTATGTTTCAAGTTAACCATAGGAAGATTTAGCATAATATAACTGAATAACACAAGTAAAGTGGACTTTACAATTTTGAAAGATTAGCTTTCCTGTCATTTAATTGTGTTCAGTGATTATGAGCATATCTGTAGTTAAGTTTTCTTTTCTTTTTTTTTTTTTTGAGTTGGAGTCTCACTCTGTCGCCCAGACTGGAGTGCAGTGGCCGCTCCCGGCCACCACAGCCTCGACCTGCTGGGCTCCGGCGATCCTTCCGCCTCAGCCTTCCGAGTAGCCGGAATTACAGGCATGCGCTACCACGCCCGGCTGATTTTTTTGATTTATTGTAGAGATGAGGTCTCACTGCCCAGGCGGGTCTCGAACCTAAACTTAAAATTCTGGTGTCACCAAACAAATGCTAGGGAGAATAATAGCCTGGTGTATAAAGTAATGTTGCTTTTTGAAGTCGCCGTTACTTTAGTTTCAACACGCTTTCAAAAAGATTTTACCCTGTGAGCATTGAAACATCATGTATGCTCATATTTATTGATGTTCTTGAAGTGTTAGCTTCGTATTATTGATGGTAATGAAGGCAAAATAGTGGAAGGCATAGATATTGTTTTCAATAACATGAATCATTGATGAAATTAGAATACTTAAGAACTATTTTTCTGTCATAGTAGAAAAACAATTTCCTAAAGCAACAATGTAATAATGCTTCCTTCATTTACCAACTGCACAGTTGGAATGTGACAGGCAAGTGTTTTAGAATCTTTTTTTTAATGTCTTGATTTTTTTCCTTTTATTTCTTCTAATTAAATGGGAAAATATAATCGAATTAATGTTTTATTTATTTATTTATTTATTTGAGTTGGGGTCTCACTCTGTTTCCCAGATTTGAGTGCAGTGGCAGGCTCCCGGCCACCGCAGCCTCAACCTGCTGGGTTCCGGCCATCCTTCCGCCTCAGACTTCCGAGTAGCTGGGATTACAGGCACGCGCTACCATGCCCGGCTGATTTTTTTATTTATTGTAGAAATGAGGTCTCGCCAAGTTGCCCAGGCGGGTCTCGAACCCGCGAGCTAAGGCAATTCACTCATCTCAGCCTCCCAAAGCATGGGATTACAGACTGAGCCACCAAGCCCGGCTTAAATAAAGAAGTAAATGCACAATTGAAGAGGGCAATTTACAAAGTCATGATTCCAAACTAAGCTATTTTTATCTCTTATCCGCGACTAAGTTATTTTATTTTATATTTTGAGTTGGAGTCTCACTCTGTTGCCCAGACTGGAGTGCAGGGGCAGGCTCCCGGCCACCGCAGCCTCAACCTGCTGGGCTCGGGTGATCCTTCTGCCTCAGCCTTCCAAGTAGCTGGAAGTACAGGCATGTGCTACCATGTCTGGCTAATTTTTTGATTTATTGTAGAGATGAGGTCTCGCCAAGTTGCCCGGGCGGGTCTTGAACCTGTGGACTCCGGCAATCCACTCACCTCAGCCTCCCAAAGAGCAGGATTACAGGCTGAGCGACCGATCCTGGCTGACTAAGTTATTTTTGCATGAAGTTTCATGTTTAAGGAAAAAGTTGTTATGATTTGAAGACTTTACTGTATGTCTCAGTGTTAGGATGTCTATTTTTGGAATATTTAAATATAGAATATATATCACCAAGGAAGAGCTAAAGATTTCTAGTACGGTAGTTAGTATTATGAGAAACTGATAGGATGCATGACCTTTTTCCTTTCATTCCACTATTTTTGCAGCTGTCCTTTAAATCTAAAGGAAGGCTTTCCCATCTCATTAAAATGTCAAGACATTCTATAAATATTTTTAGCTCAGTATACCATCTAATATGTCGGACTGCCTACTTACAACATACTTGGTTCTCAGAGATAGGATTCATTGCGAAGATGAGGCAAGAAAATGCTTATCTACTTGGCCTTCAGTGTTTCATTGTTTAAGCAACTAAGGAGTTCTCAAGACCACATCTGTTAAACAGACATTATTGATCTATCTAGTATTTTGAGCCCTAATTCAGAATCACTCAGGTGCATTTTCATTTCAAGTATTGTAACTTAAATTATCTCATTGTTTTACAATTGATCTTGTTTTTGTTCTAAGTGTTCACACTTAAACTTTTAAATAGATAGAATGAGAGGCCAGGTTGCATTCCTATATGTACCTTTTGACATTTTCTAAAACCTTTAGTTGCTTCATAATGTCTTTTAACCTGCTCAGTACATAATGTAATAATTCTTATTAGTGATCTGTACTTTTTGAGTAGTACTTTGGTATACTGCTAGTGATCTTCCTTTTCTGTCTTTGTGTGATAATTCCAAATTTACCATTCCCTTGAAGCTTCCTATTCCACCAAGACCCTATCCTCCATACCAAACAGATTTTAATTCACAGAGAAAATAATTGCCATATAACATAACAGCCTCACATAGTCTCACTGGTCTGTCCCTTAACATGTCCTTTTGACTTTATTCTTATCTTAGATGAAGCATTTTTATTCCTTGTTTTTAAGATTAACCTCTCTGCTTGTGCTCTTTATCCCATCTCATATTTTTTAGGTCTTGTGCCAGCATTTATTCACTCCTGAGTATGCTTAATTTCTCAGTGTCTTCATGTTCCTCTCTACTGCCTGTAACAGTGCTCAATCTCCCACTTTAAATTAGCTTTACTTCCACAGGGCTTCACCTCAGAGTTGCTGTTCAGATTTGTTTTACTCAGTCCCTTATTGTCAATTGTATTCTGATGAAACAAATGTTCTTAAAGTCATTCAGTAATAACGATGATAATAGTATTAATGTAAGAATAGTTACTACTTAAGCCCTGTTTGTATGCTCAGCATTATTCTTAGTACCTTACATGGTACTGATTTGATTCTGTGGGGTAGGAAACCGTATGGAGTAGCATATTGTGAGGTCAGGAGCTTTGAACACCAGTTTCCTGGGTTTGAGTCTTTCTTATACTGCATAACTATGTGTAGGACCTTAGGTAAATTATTTGACCTCTATTAGTTTCCTCATCTATACGTTGGGAATAATATCTGTCTTCCTACCTCAAAGGGAAACTGAAACATAAAGAGATTAAGTAACTGACCACTCAAGATCACACAGATTTGTATGAAGATTTAGGTTAGAACCCAGACAGCTTTATTAACCACTTTGCTCTCTCTTCAATGATGTTGGTGACCTAGTTGATAAAAGTAGATTAGTGGGAAATTTTTACTCTTCTAGGCCTTCGTTTAGCACTTGATGGTATTCTACTTTCTGCTTATTAAAACTGTTTTCCCTGCTTGCTTCCATATCACTGAACCTTGTATCCCCAATGACAACTAAGTTTTATTTCTTCCCCTATTTGTGCCCACTCCTTAAATTTTTTTTTTTTTTTGAGTTGGAGTCTCACTTTGATTTCCAGGTTAGAGTGCAGTGACATGCTCATGGCCACTGGCAGCCTCAACCTGCTGGGCTCAGGTGATCCTTCCGCCTCAGCCTTCCAAGTAGCTGGATCTACAGATTGAAGTCTCACCAAGTCTTCCAGGCTGGTCTCAACCCCTTAAGCGCAGACCATCTTCTTGCCTCGGCCTCCCAGAGTGCTGGTATTATAGGTGTGAGCCACTGTGCCCAGCCATTTTTTTTTTTTTTTTTTAGGTTTGTTCCTCTCCCTTCTTTCCTTCCTCCATTTTCTTCCTTATCTTCCCTTTTTTTCCTCTAGGACCAGAAGTTTAGGTTATAATTTCTAAAATCTCTAGGCTAAAGCACACTCTAGCTTTCCAGATTCTTGATTTCAGATTCTTGAATGTATCATAGTTACCTTATACCCTATCTGTTGACCACTAAATAATGTGATTTGAATATGTCACCTTTGATTAAAATATATATTTTTTTGTCTCTACTGTGGCTGAAGAAATTCCAGTTCTAGAAGTGGGAAAAATGGTTCCCTGTTTCTTGTTCACTTGTATTTAATGTGGATGCTTCAGTTTATTTCTATGAAATAATCTTTTAAAGTGATTAGTTGGAGAGGGCTAGATTTCCTTAAACTAGATGCTGTCCTTAAATCCACCCACCTAAACTATAGTGGTTTGTAATAAACTGGAGGAGAATTGGGGAGTAAAAATACAACTGTCAATGTCTACTTCATGGAGACCATTGGTAAAGTGTGATATATGACAGCTGACATACAGACTGAATGAGGATGCCAGCATTTAGTATTGAATATTAGTAAATATTACTTTTTTCCTTGTTTTTGTTGGTTAAAAATAAATATAAATGAAATTTCTTACATGTTTTCTGCACCCTAGTGGATCATTTTGTATACCTTCTGGGGCAATAATAGTGGTCTGCTTGATAAGATGAAGGTTAAAATTAAACTGTTCAGCATGGCATACAATTCCTTGTACAGTTTTTGTTGGTTTTTTTTTGAGTCAGAGTCTCACTCTGTCCCCCAGACTGGAGTTCAGTGACACACTCATGGCCATTGCAGCCTCAACTTGCTGGGCTCAAGTGATCCTTCCCCCTCAGCCTTCAAGTAAGTAGCTGGAAGTATAGGTGTGTGTTACCATGCTTGGCTAATTCTTTTGATTTGTAGAGGTGAGGTCTTGTCAGGTTGTCCAGGCTGGTCTCGAACCCCTGGGCTCAGGCAGTCCTCTTGTCTTGGCCTACCAAAGTGCTAGGATCATAGGCGTGAGCCACCATACCTGGCCTCTTATACAGTTTTGTTTTACTTTATGTTTCCAGCTACTTTTTTTTTTTTTTTTGAGCTGGAGTTTCACTCTGTCGCACAGGCAGGAGTGCAGTGGCACGCTTATGGCCACCACAGACTTGACCTGCTGGACTCAGGTCATCCTTCCGCCTCAGCCTTCCAAGTAGCTGGAACTAAAGGCATGTGCCACACCACACCCAGCTAATTTTTTTATTTTTTTATAGAGACAAGGTCTCTCCAAGTTGCCAGGCTGATCTTGAAGCCCTGGAGTCAGTCAGTCCTTTTGCTTCAGCCTTCCAAAGTGCTGGAATTACAGATGTGAGCCACTGCGCCCAGCCTTCCAGCTACTTTTTACTTCTGTGGCCATTCCTCTTCTCATACCGTATCTTACAACTTCATTAAACTATAGTATTCATATAGCCTTTGTTTATACTGTTTTGTTAGTCTGAGATGATGCTACCTTATACCTCTTTAAAATTCTACCTATTCTTCATGAATCAGCATGTGTATCACCTTCTTTGGGGAGCTTTTCCTGAAAATGTAATGTATAGTAGTTAACAGTGTAGACTGTAATTGCTGACTGAGATACCTGTCTGGATTTTTAATCTTGGTTTACTGTTTGAAAGCTCTTTTGCTTTGGGCAAACTATTTAGTTTTTTGTGCTTCATTTCCTTATCTGTAAAATAGGAATAATAATATCAATTTTATGAGTTATTAGGTAGATCAGTGAGATTATACATGTGAAGTACTTGGCACATGGATGAGTTTATTTTGTTTTTTGTTTTTTGAGTCTGAGTCTTACTCTGTTACCCAGGCTGGAGTGCAGTGGTATGCTCACGGCCACTGCAGCCTCCACCTGCTGGGCTCAGGCGATGCTTCTGCCTCAGTCTCCTGAGTAGTTGGAACCACAGGTGTGCACCACCATGCCCAGCTAATTTTTAAATTTATTTTAGAGATGAGGTCTTGCCAAGTTGCCCAGGCTAGTCTGAAACCTTGGATTCTGGCAATCCTCTTGCCTTGGCTTCCCAAAGTGTTGGGATTACAGGTGTGAGCCACTGCACTGGGCAGTGAGTTCTTTATAAATAACATCCACTGTTATTAATTGTAGGATGCATTTTAAAAATATTTTAATCTTTTTTTTTTTTTTGAGTTGGAGTCTCTCTCCATTGCCCAGGCTGGAGTGCAATGCTCACAGCCACTCCAGTATCGACCTGCTGGCCTCAGCAATCCTTCCACCTCAGCCTTCTAAGTAGCCAGGACTACAGGCATGCGCTACCACACCTGGCAGATTTTTTGATTTATTGTAGAGACGAGGTCTCGCCAAGTTGCCCAGGCTGTTCTCGAACCCATGGGTCAGGCAATCCACTCACCTCAGCCTTGCAAAGTGCTGGGATTACAGGCTTGAGCCACCACGGCCAGCCAATATTTTAAACTTATAATCAAGACATGTATTTAAAGTAATACTTATATCATCTCCACAAAGCTATAATTAAATTGAAGGCACACTTTTATTGATGATGATTTGTAGAATTGAGGAAATATCTTGGTGGCTGCCTTTTTTGTGCTTTCACTATTTGTACTTACCTGTCCTAGCATTATATGTTAAATTATTGCTTGGTTGTCATCTAATTGTTTTAGTCTAATTGTCATCTCATGTTTTTAATCTTTAAAGTATATTAACATAATTTGTGTTCTGAAATATACCACATTTATAATATGGCACTTTTTTGCCGGCCCATTTTATACACACACACACACAATTTTGTATCTTGTCCATTTCCTCTTTGAACTCCTCAAGGTTTAAAGATCAACTTTGTATGTGCAGTGTTTAAATATATCACCTGGCACATAGTAGACTGTCTGTAGATGTTGATTGAAAGGGAAAATGATGAACAAGAAAGGTTCATCAGGCTTTGATTTTTTTCCCGCCGCTAATATGGAATTCAATATTTTTTAACATGCAAATTTAGTCATTGAATTTGCATTTTTATGTTCCTCAGGATTGTACCAAGTCTTTGGTTAATGTAACATGGTTAATATTTAAAGTATAAAATGATTCCTATGCTTAAAAGTTAAATACAAATGGAGATTCTGCTTTTATTTTGCAAGAACGTTTGCTGAAGATGACCTTAGAGGAGAGACGCAAAGAATACCTAAGGGACTATGTTCCTCTGAGCACCATTCTATCGTGGAAGGAGGAGGTGAAGGGCAAGAGCCAAAATGATGGTAAGTTTCTCAGAACACATCTTAGGGAGATACTATTCCCATTTTGTTTGTGACTCCTGCAGGACAATTGTTGACAGAAATAAATAGCTGGCATTCAACAAAGAGGTGACGTTGTTATTTGAAATTATTGCTTGGTTGTCATCTAATTGTTTTAATCTAATTGTCATCTTATGTTTTTAAGTTTTAAAGTATATTAACATAATTTGTGTTCTGAAATATACCATGTTTATAATATGGTACTTTTTTGTAGGCTCCCCCCTCCCTTTTTTTACCATTCTTTAATAGTTCTTGGAGCAAATGCTGTTAGGGATTTGCTGCTTTGGTGATGCGGCCCTTTGACTTTGTTTTGATTGGGTTCATTTATAATGGATTTCCTTATGTTATTTTAAGCATTGGATACAGCTGAAAGAGTATATTAAGCAGAAGAGAGAAAAATCAAATTACATTTCTCATCATTTTACAAAAGAATATATATTTTGTATAGTGGGGATATTATGTCTATATGTAACGTGTTCATGTGACAGAATTTACTCTCTCAATTTCTTATATGATTTGATGAGAGTCTAGGTTATGTTTAGAATATAAATGAAGTTTTAAAGATTAAAAAGGTACATGAAAACGTTTCTAAACACAATATAATAGATTTAATAGATGTTTAATGTTATTATTACTGAATTAAAACTCATTGGTGTTGATGATCTAGATATGTAGTTTAGACAAACAGGATACTTTTTAGGGTACTTAATAGCTGAGAAAGAAAGGTGACTTTATGAAATGGACATGGATCATGCAAATTTCACAGATTGTGGTCTTAGATTGGTGGAACTATACAGGATACTATGAGCCCAGAAAATGAAGACTAGTATGGAATTCCTGTGGACAAAATCTTTGGGGAAAGATTAGACTTTAGTGTCTATGAAGAGAGCACATTTACCTGAGAGTTTGAACTTTAGACAGAACTTTTATTTTTTATTTTTTACTTGAATTGGAGTCTCATGGTCACCCATGACCACTGCAGACTCAACCTGCTGGGCTCAGGTGATCCTTCCTCCTCCTCAGCCTTTCAAGTAACTGGAACCACAGGCGTGTGCCACTGTGCCTGGCTAATTTTTTGATTTATTGTAGAGATGAGGTCTTGCTAAGTTGCCCAGGTTGATCTTGAACCTGTGAGTTCAGTCAGTTCTCTCACTTCTGCCTCCCAAAGTACAGGGATTATAGGCATGAGCCATTGTGCCCTGTTAGACAGAACTTCTTCTACAAAAGCAAAGCATATGGGACTAGGTGTGAAAAGTTGTGGGTTATTTTAGACCTTACATTGCCTGGAAACATATGTGACCTTGGGCAAGTGGGGTAGTGGATATACCAAGTTCTAATGAGGTCATTGAACAAGCTGATTGGATTGTGCACATCTGACCTGCCAGTCTAATGTCTTCTGTAAATGCAAATTGTTTTAATAATGGTCTGATTCAGACATCATTGAATGAGAAGGGAGTGCTGTGAAATAAAAAGAAGACAGGCTAGAAATCAGGGGAACAGAGTTCTGGGCCTTGTCTGACCCTAGGGCCATATGCCTCTTTATGTTTAGGTCTCAATATTATTTCTTCTTCTTTTGTTTATAAGCAACTGGTATTGAATACTTCAGCTTTATTTTTTTATTTGTTTTTATTAATGGTTACAGGTTGTATAACCTTTATTCAAAATGCTTGGCACCAGAAGTGTTCAGGATTTTGGATTTCCTTGGATTATACTTACCAGTTTAGCATCCTAATCCAAAAATCCAAAATCTGAAGTGCCTTAGTGAGCATTACTTTTGAGCATCAAGTTGGTGCTTAAAAAGTTTCAGATTTTAGAACATTTTGGATTTTTAATTTTTGCATTAGGACAATTCAACCTGTAATACATATATCCCCCACATAAAAAAAGGATACATTGAATAACTTCTGACATTGTTATTCTCTAACAGGTTGCTGCATATTTAATACTATCTCCCAATATGACCTTTTAAGTGGTTACAACTGCCGTATGTATTTCATTTTTTCCCCTCATGCTTTTTAAAGTTGAAAGTTCTTCATGGGGGAACTAGGTGATGTGATCAAAACTGTATTTCTATTAAACAACGTTTTATTTTTCAATTTAATATCTGAAATGTTTCTAGCTCCTTTCTTTTGTGACCTAGAAATGGTGACTGGCCTCTTCCTTTTTTATGAAGTAGAATGACTCATTTTGCAAGTAATATTTGTTAATTTCTATACATAATGCACATCTTTCGTATATACTTTTTGTTACATACTCAGTGCTCAGTCATAAGAAAATATTAAGAGAATTTTAGCATTTTAACAGTTTTAAAAGGTCCTTCAAAAAATATAAATTTATAAAAGTGATAAAGGACAACTATATCTACAGTTATATTTGTAATGTTTAAGTCACTGCTTTTAAATATATGTGTATATAAGTAGGTATTGATATTTATGTTAAATATGGAATCTCAAACTTAGTATCAAAAGAAATATATATTTTTGTGAGTTTCTAATAGTAGTAAATGAATAATATTTATTGGGTTAGGGCAGTAGACCAGTTTTAAATTTAGTAGTTTATGATTAACTGTGTTTTTATGGAGGGCCATTTTAGCCTTAATAGCTATAATTATGTGGAAAGTTCTTGAGCTACTGTTTTACATTTTTTTCTTACCTAGATTTCTTTTACTTTGATCAAATGCTTCTTGTTATTATAGTACAGTAGAAAGTTAAATAAGAAAGAGGGGAGTGGCCAAATGTGTTTTTAACAGTTTTGGTGTTAAGCCTTCCTAAAACTAAAGGAAACCAACAAAATGCCAAGCAACATAAAATCAGTGTTGGTATGGAAAGGAAGAAGCAAGTGGATATATTTTCTACTTTGTCTTACTGCTTTGTTAATATTGGAAAGCTATGGATTAGATGAGGAAAGAATGGGAGATGATTACAAAAAAAAAAAAAAGAAAACCTATCTCTCAAAACCCATTAAATACATCATTTGCTTATTGTTCATCTTCATATTTGTCAGCTGTTATTAGCAAATCTCTGGAATTGTATGCTTCTAATTACTTCTTTCTTTGTATTAGCAATTATGTAACAATTCTATTTCATTTGTCAGTTGCTATCCTGTAGGTACGTTTAAAACTCTTGTATCTCCTATTATACTGTGTCTTTAGCTTCTGGAATGATGCCTTTTGTGTAAGTAGACTCGATCATTATGTTAAATAAGAATGTCTTTGAGGTTAATAGTCTACATGGGATGGTTCATTCCAAACTTTTAATAATGGGTGTTAAAAAAATTATAAAAATAGGATACAGTCATGTCTCACCTAATGATGTTTTGGTCAACAATATACTACATACATGATGGTGGTTCCATAAGATTACAATAATTTATTTTTATTGTATCTTTTCTGTGTTTAGATGCACAATGACTTGCCATTGTGTTACAGTTCCTTACAGTATTTACCACAATAACAGGCTGTACAGGTTTGTAGCCTAGGAACAATCAGATATACCATATAGCCTATGTGTGTAGTAGTCTATATCATCTAAATATGTTTAAGTGCACCCTATGATGTTCGCATAATGACAAAATCACCTAATGATGCATTTCTCAGAGTGTATCTCTGTTGTTAATTGATGCATGACTGTAGTATAAGGAACCTCATACAGCTTATCACCCAGTTTCAACAGTTACTACATGGCTTGCTCTATCTATCTATCTTTTTTAAAAAATGTATTTTATTTTAAAGATGTGGGGTACAATTCAGGATTAGGTATCAAGTCATTATCATACAGGTAAAGTTTAGGCCTCTGTTTGGTCCCCACTTTGCCTGCAATCCTTATTAATATTATTGACCCCTCTCCCTACCCTGGCAGTTTCCGGCTACTGCCAATCCCTTTCTTATAGTATTATGGTAAATGTCCAGGGTCCACTTATGAGTGAGAACATGTGTTACTCAGTCCTTTGTTTCTGTGATAAATCACAGACTCTAAAAAGACTTTAAATTCATCCAAGACTCTAAATCCATCCAAGTTGCTGCGATTATTTCATCTATATCAGTGCTCCCTGTACCTTCTTCCTAGATTATTTTGAATCAAATTACATATATCATGTAAATTTTAATTTATAAACGTATAATCACATATATCATATAAATCACATATCATGAATTTTAATCTATAAATGTATGTATGCACGCATATATATATATTGCCATAAGATAGGGACCTATTTTTGTTTTGCTATCACCATAATACTTTATCATGTCTAAAATTATTAATTTCTTAATATAATCAAATATCTAATTAATATTCATGTTTTTCCATTGTTTCATAAAGGGTTATTTTTTTGGATGGTTGATTTATTTGCATCTACATCTCACCAAGTTCCACTTACTGCATTTAATGTTTCTTAAGTCACTTTTAATCTATAATTACTTCTCTCTTTCCTTTTTTCTTCTCCCTTTATAATTTTTTTTTTTTTTGAGTTGGAGTCTCACTCCATTGCCCAGGCTGGAGTGCATTGGCACACTCACACCACCCTGGCATTGATCTGCTGGACTCAGGCAATCCTTCTGCCTCAGCCTTCCAAGTAGCTGGAACTACAGGCATGCGCTATCACACCCGGCTAATTTTTGATTTATTGTAGAGATGAGGTCTTGCCATAGTTGCCCAGGCGGGTCTCGAACCTATGGGCTCAGGCAGTCCACTCACCTCGACCTCTCAAAGTGCTGGGATTACAGGCTGAGCCACTGAGTCCGGCTCCCCTTATAATTTATTTGTTGAATAAACTAGGTTGTTTGTCCTACAGAATTTTTCATATTTTAATTTTCGTATTTTAAATTTTACTGACTTCATCTTCATGGTGTCATTTAGCATATTCCTTTGTCCCCTCTATTTCTTATGAGTTGGTAGTTAAATCCAGAGGCTTGCTCAGACTTGGGTTTAAATTGTTTTCAACTAATGCTTTATAGATTATTATGT